GGACCATTCTTCTTCGAAAATGCGGCTACTCAGGCAATAACAGCTAATGGTGCTCGCTATTGCAACATGATAATCCATTTACCCGATATGCCATTCCATACATAACCCTATACTATATACTTTATGAATCAATAAAAATTTTACAATTTTTAATTATAAACCTGTGTTTTCTATCAAAATTACTTCTTGTGTGAATTTTGGGACACCCTTTATCTGTGGCTTGGTGGCCTTATGATTAGTTAATGTTGGGATATGCTGTTACTAAAAGAAAAAAAGTGAGAATACTGGGGGGCAATAGTAGTCTTTGCTTTTGTTACTTCAGTGAAAATTTTTTAAAAGAAATTAACTGCATGGTCATGGGCCATTTTATTCTATAATTAATTGTCTTATTCTTATGTTCTTACCTGTTTTATTGTAAAACATCAGCAAAGTGATTTTTGTATAACTATTTGGACTACTTCAAGTAAGATCTTTATATTTTCTAGGGTTTACGGAGTCCACAGGGAATAAGATGCCATCCAGAAGCTGTCTGTGGTCATATTATTATTGAGAGCCATGAAAAAGGATGTTACAGGACTCTAACTCCTAAACAATCACAGTTGGACAGCCATCCTTGTATCTTCAGATCACCTGAACCCTTAGAAATTATCAGAGGACACCGGAGCCCGTCATCATGGAGAAGCAGGCACATCAACCTTTCCAAATCACTAGACCAGAGCAACACCCGTTTCAAAGTTTGGAATTCCTTGCAGTTACAAAGTCGTTCCCCAATTCAGAACTTTACAACTGATGACTTCAAAATTAGCAAGGGTTTTCGAATGCCATTTCGTGAAAATATGGACCCTTGGCTGTCAGAATTAGTAGAACCTACTTATGTGCTACCTGAAGAAATGGATTGTCATTCTTCATCACAAATGCTGTCCCCAGAATCCATGAAAAAGTTTACTACCTCCATCACTTTTTCATCTCACCGACATTCTAAATGCTTTTCAGATTCCTCTGTTCTTAAGGTTGGTGTTACTGAAGATAGCCAGTATACTAGAGCATCTGTAACTCCAAATTCTCCACCCATATTTTTTGAACAACCTGAGTTCTGCAAAGTCCCACATGCAGATCACTATATAAGAAAACCTCCTCCTCCTCCTCCTCCTCCTCCTCCTCCTCCTCCTCCTCCTCCTCCTCCCCCTCCTCCTACCTTTCCTCCTCCTCCCCCTCCTCCTCCCCCTCCTCCCCCTCCTCCCCCTCCTCCTCCTCCTCCTTCACATCAGCATTATGTAGCTCCAAATCTTCCTTGTCACATTTTTCTTGAAAACCGAGAACTCTTTGAACAAAGCAAAACCCCACAGGTAGATCATCAGATGAGAATAAACTACTCTCCCCTTCCTCAAGGTCAGAGTTATATAGCTCCAGACCTTCCTTCTTCTATATTTCTTGAACAGCGTCAGCTCTTTGAACAAAGCAGGGGCCCTGATATAGATCACCAAATGAGAAAACAATATTCCCCCCTTCCTCAAGGTCAGGATTATGTAGTAGAAAACAAGGATCAACAAGAGCCTAAATCATACATTTCTAATATAAAAGTTGAAACTAATAAAATCAATGATGTGGTCTCCCAATCATCGCCAAATCAATGTACATTAGGAACATCTCCATCTACTCTACCTTCGAACAAAAAGATACTTTCTTTGGTTCGTATAACTCTTTCTCCCAAGACTTCCTCCAAGTTGGATAGTGGAACCTTAGATAAAAGGTTTCTTTCATTGGATTCGGCTTCTAAAACAAGGATGAATAGTGAGTTTAACTCTGACCTACAAACTATATCTTCAAGATCATTGCAACCAACCTCCAAATTACTGACCGGTAAACTTATAGTACATGATCAAGAATCTTTAGGTTCTCTAGGACCTAAATCTTCACCGGACTTTCAAGTCATACAGTCTCTTCCAGATAGTAATATTATTTCTCAGGACTTGAAAACCATACCTTTTCAGAATAGCCAGATAGTAACCTCAAAGCAAACACAAGTGAACTTTTCAGATTTGGAAGAATATTCCAATCCAGAAAGGACTCCAGTATCTGCAGATCGGTGAGTCTCTTTGTGATAACAAGCAAGCTGATGGAATTTGTCATAACGGGTTTTAAATATTTAAACAAATGTAAGTTTTTTGGGGGGGAGCAGTGTGATTCTCTTAGGGCAGATTGTATCTAATGATTCTGCTGGAAGTCTTTCAAGAGATAAATATCAAAGTAAAGACATCTGAAAGTAATGTGTTTATACTTTCAAAGGGCTTTTGATAAGACTTGGCTTCAAGTATTTAAAACATTGAATTATTTTGAGAAGACTCTTTGATCATGCAGTGGTACAAGTTACTAGTTCCTTACTTATTGTGTTGAAGATATGCTGAAGACCAGGCTTTGGGAAAGGATGCATGCACATGTTCCCTCTCCTGCATGCGCGCTCTCTCCTTTTTTCCCCCTCTTCGTTTCCATTTTATGATTCCCCTCAAATATTTAGTATTTACAATGTAAAAAGGTAACTTTTCAGTGGAAAATTCTGGCAAACATCACTTTAGCCAAGTAATCAAGGTTTAACCTCACCAGTAATGCAAATCAAAATACTGTACTCCCTGATGCGATGCCCCACTTCACAGTGTATTATAGGAAAGAAAAACCAGCTCAGGGATAAATGCATTAGATTGATATTATTCAGCCTAAATTTAAGACTGTCATTAATTCAGTTTTACATTAGTCTCCCACAAGAGACTCCTAACATTCTGTTATGGCTAAACAGAACTACCCTTTGTATTTAATGTTTCCATCTTATAGTTGAGTAGGCAACATGTCATAGTGGAGAGCACTGGCCTTGGAAAGGAGAAAGGGGAGAAAATGTTTTTTCAACATCCACATATGGTATTCTTGCCAGTGAGGGACTTGTATATGTTATCTCATTTAATACTCATGATAATCCTATGCGTTGATGGTGGTATCCATATTTACCCTCCGGGAAACTGAGACACGGACATTGCTACTTTGTCAGCAAACAGCATTTTCTCAAATAATGCTGATCGTAAGCAGCAGATGGGGCGTTCACATACAGACTTTTTAATCAAAGTAAGAGTTTGTTTATCACATGATATTGTTTCTCCAAACCTTGAGCTATACTTCTAGCTCTTCTACTATCTTCTTGGATAAGTCATTTAATATTTTTGGCACTCATATTTCCAAATGAAATGTTAGTGATTGAGAATTGAATTGGGGCAAAACAAACAACAAACAAGGTGAATCTCTAGTTTCAATGTTACAAATAATAGGGTATTGTAGAAATCAATATTGATAATTATTTTTGAAAAATGTTTAAAAATTAAAAGATTGACAAGTTTATGTACAATATTGAAACTCATCAAAATGATAAAATGCTTAGTTATTGGAGCTGAGTTCCTTGAATGAGAAAATTATAGATGATTATAAATATGAATTAATAATGCCATTTGTTCAGAATGTACTAAATGCTAGTGGTGGCCTATATTATATTTTTCAGTATAATCAGATAGTATTATCTCAATTTATAGATTTTTAAAAGCCTAATACTTAAATGTTTTGCTTCAGATCACATGACCATTAAGTGTTGGAGGTGGCATTTGAACCTAGGTGTGTCTGACTCCAGTGTCCATAAATAATTCAGACTATATATACATAACACATTTATTTGTGTGTATATACAGTCACCTACCACATAACAATATTTAGGTCAGTGATGGATTACATATATGATAGTGGTCCTATAAGATTATAATGACCATTAAGTGTTGGAGGTGGCATTTTACTAATTTTTTCATTAAAATATTCTTATTGCCTAATGACGTCTATGACTCCAAAGGATTTGCCAAAGATAAAGAGGTTGCAAAAATCAACAAGGTTGTAGTTGAGATGACAAACAGCTGTAACCTGGGTGTGGATAAGGATGACGTTGGAGAGTTCCTAGATGTGGTTCTTGAGGAATTGACTAATGTGGAGTGGTTGGAACTAGAGCAGGAATACATAGCTGAAGAAGAGGCCAAGAGAAAAGGAAACTGCAGAAGAAAAAGAAGAGGAACCCCCAAAAAATGCACAGTAAAGGGTTTAGCAGAAGCCTTTGCAGACTTCAACAAGCTCCTTAAAACTTTTGAAAACATGGGCCTCAACACTGAAGGGTTTTCATCAATTGAGAGGAATGTTCATGGTGCATTATCTACCTACAAGCAAATCTATGATAAAAATAATCACCCAAGCAAACCACCATGGACATATTTCAGGCAGGTCCTTCATAAGGTATTTCAAAAGAAGGCATTCTTATCATAAGAGATGACAGTTCCATGTGTGTCATTACCTCTAAAGACCTTCCAGTGGGACAAGATGTAAAGGTGGAAGACAATGATATTGATGATTCTGATCCTGTGGAGGCCCAGGCTAATGTGTGTGTTTATGTCTTAGTTTTTAACAAAAAGTTTTAAAAAGTAAAAAATATTTTTAAAGTTTTAAATAGAAGGTTATAGAATAACAATATGAAGAAAAACTATTTTTGTGCAGCTGTACAATGTGTTTTTTAAGCTGTGTTAAAAATGTTAAAGTAAAAAAAAAAATGTTACAGTAAGCTGTTAATTATTGAAGAAAAAAAGGTGTTTTAAAAATAAATTTAGTGTAGTTTAGGTTTATAGTGTGTATAAAGTCTACAGTACTTACAATAATATTCTGGGCCTCCACATTCACTTACCAGTCAATGGGCTGTATCATAGAGCGTAGGTGTGTATTAGGCTACCAGTGGTCGGCAAACTGCGGCCCTTTGGCCCCTTGAGTGTGGCTCTTCCTAAGCCTCAGGAGTACCCTAACTAAGTTAATGACAATGTACCTACCTATATAGTTTAAGTTTAAAAAATTTGGCTCTCAAAAGAAATTTCATTCGTCGTACTGTTGATATTTGGCTCTGTTGACTAATGAGTTTGCCGACCACTGGGCTATACCATCTAGGTTTGTGTAAGTGCATTCTATGATATTTGTACGACAAAATCGTCTAAGGATGCATTTCTCAGAATGTGTCTCCGTCATTAGGCAAGGCATGACTATGTGTTTGCATAGAACGTGTGCAAGTACTAAATATTTCTAAACTTTTTTATACTGAGATAATTTTCAACTTAAAGAGGAGTTGCAAAAAATAGCAGCTTAAAACAATGAATATTATCCCCAAGTTTCTGTGGGTCTGAAATCTAGGCATGGCTTAGCTCGGTGCTTCTGGCGCAGGGTCCCTCACAAGGTTGCAAACAAGATACTGGCTGTAGCTATGGTCTAATCTCAGCTGTGTTTGACTGAGAGGATATGCTTCCAAGCTTGCTCACATAGCTGTTGGCTAGAGGCATCAGTTTCTTCTTCTATATGGGCAGCTCCAATATCATAGCTAAATTTCCTTCAGAGTGAGCAAAGCAAGTAAGAGTGCAAGAGAGGGCTTCAGGACAAAAGCCACAGTCTTTATGTACCCTAACCTTGGAAGTGAATTTCACCACTCTGCCACATTGTTTGATAGAAATAAATCACTATTTTCAGCCCATCCTGAAGGGTTAGATATTACACAAGATTATAAATACCAGGAGGCAGAGATCATTGGGGGATATCTTAGAGGTTGGCAATATGCCCTTTACAAAAATTTCCCCTTATGTCAACATCATAATCATAAAACATTTACCAAAACTAAGAAATTATCCTTCATATAAAATTGTAACTAAAATATAGATTGTTTGGGATTTCACCTGGTTTTTCCACAAATGAACCTTCTGTTTCAGATCCAATCTAAGATCCCACCTTGCATTGTAGGTTTCATATCTTCTTAGTTTCTTTCAATCTGTGGCAGTTTCTCAGTCTTTCCTTATTTTTCATCAACTTGACACTTTAAAGAGAATTAGTTATTTTTGAGAAAGTTTTTCAGTTTTGCTGTTTCTTGTTGTCTCAAGATTAGATTGAGGTTAGGCATTTTTAAAGCATCTCATCAGGGAACACATTATATTAACATGCATTACTGGTGATGTTAAACTTTATGTGTGTGTGTGATGTTAACCTTGATCACTTAGCTAAAGTAGTGTCTATCAATATTCTCCACTGTTCTACATATTTATAAATTCCCAACAATTGTTATTGTTGCTTGGTTTATTTCATTATGTGAAATATAGAACAACATAAATGTATATATATAAAAAGGTGTGTGTATGTATGTCTCCATATGTATATGTACATGCTACACATTATTAAGTGCTCTTCATTATTTCCTGCAGTTCTGTACTTTTGTTGGATTGTTTTACTCCGGCCTAAAAAAATTTCTTTTGGTATTTCCTGAGGTCTGCTGGAGATCAGTGCTCTTCTCTTTTATTTATTTGTATTTTATTTTTAAAATAGATTCCAATTTTCTCTTGAAATTTCTTTATATTTTTACCTATTATCCCCATCTTTTGCTATTTTAATATATTAGTAACCATTTTAAAATCCTTCTGTGCTAACTTCATTATCTCAATATCCTGTAAATCAATTTTTCTTTTTTTCGCCCTCTCAATATTTACTTCTTCCTGCTTCACAAATTTTACAATTTTTGCTTGTATGCTGGACATTGTGAATAAAAAAAAAATTATAGAGACTGAAAATGCTATTACTTTGCAACAGAGAGGATTTTTCCTTTTCTCTGTTAATCATTTCAGGAATTTTACTAGGTCAGAGCTGGGTTGGGCTACCTATGATTGTTAATGATTTGTTTGGATTTTTGTTTTAAGCTGACAAGTCTTTGATTCTTCAATAATTAAATATAGTAAGATACCATAGTTCAGTCTTTCAGATGTTTGAATTCAGCTCTTTAGATTCTCAGCCCTCGTAGCTTTACAGTGGCAAATATAAGGGGAAAACAGCTATGTATTTTTGTGGTTACATTTTCTCAATGGAAACGTCTCATAAGCGCTCAAAAGATGACAAGTGATTACACTGTTTTTTTACTCAGCCCCCTTCTTGAGGGTGGCACTGTGGATTTTTTTTTATTGCTAGTTTTATAAGTCTGAATTCCTCACCTTGAAAGTTCTC